CCAGCATGGCGTCTCCATACAAATCTCTATAAATTTGGGTAAAAAATTTCTCCGCATATCTCGCATAAGAAAAATTGCTGTGACCAGAATTTTGGCGCAAGTCTTTGCATATTTACCTTCTTTCATTTCCCAGATTCTTGACTTTATCTATTGACCGGTTTTGATTTTTATTTTGATCTATTTTAAATTGCGTGACACTGAAAACCAGCAACAGAAAAGTCGTCTTTAAACAGTTTTTTTTTCGAATTCATTAATTGAACACTGAGAGCAAGAGGGTTAAATTGAAACTTTTCTCCTACTTTCCAAATGGTCGCATACCAGGTCTTCCCTCTCCTCCAAGAAACAAATCCCGCAGATTTTTAGCAAGAACTTTGGCTTGATCGTCCTTAAGGTCGTTTTTTCCTGTGCCTCCTCCAAGCGAGATGAGAACTTTCTTTCCTGCTTTCTGGCAAGCCAAACTGCCTTCTTCGATTTTTTGACACTTGTAAGGGTTTGGGTGCGCGGATGAGGCATGATCCCAGCGATGGCGAGAAAAATTCACCTCGGGCATCGGATCTGTGATGGAAATTGACAAACTCGGTAAAGACCAGAGAAAATTCAGTAAAAAACTTAAGATTTTATGGGAGCTGTCAACCCTTGTTTGACTGCAAACACTAATTTCTGAACATGTAAAATTCTCAAGAGAGTATAAACGTTTTTGTTTGTTTCGCTGGCAAATGGTGTCAGTCCTTGCGTGCGTGTATACAATCAGCCGTTTAATTCCTTACTTGCTATATTTGCCCCATTGGGGAAAAGACAGTTTAAAAGCATATCAGAGCATTCTGTTATCTTAAACAGAATCACTAAGGTTGCCTTTGAGGTCATTACTTTCAAAGGGCCGTTACTAAACAGACGGAGGGGNGGGGGATTTTGTTACTTTCTGAACTGTATGGTAGTCGATCAGGAACTAAATAATATTCTCATCCAACTCTGGTACGTTCACTCTTATAAAGAAGAAGATCAAGAAAGAGATCCCCGGGTATTTCAGTCATGCACGTTTATGTTTGGTATGAGAAATAAATAAATTAAGCCTAGCCCGAGGCCTTGAAAGTTCACGCTATATTTCCGTAAGTGGAGTACATGCGTGCGTACGTACAGACAGTCAAGGGACAAACAATTTTTTTTTAGCTTGATTGATTACCACATTTCCTTACCTGTGGTGCTCGCACCCTTTGCGCGCACGGGAGCTCCGATTAAAATACAAGCATGTAATGATCAAGACGTTGCAGGGTTAGTATAAATAAAGCAGATTACTGACATGAGAAAGTAAATGTCAATAAATATTGGTTAAAAAAAAATACCTGTCATGGATATAAATAAACATTTAGCAATAGAGGAGCAGGGGGGGGCGCAGTGGTGAGAGCGCTCGCCTGCCACCAATGTGGCCCGGGTTCAAGTCCTGCACCCGGTGTCATAAGTGGGTTGAGTTTGTTGTTGGTTCTCGTCCTTGCTCTGAGGGTTTTTCTCCTGGTTCTCCGGTTTTCCGCCCTCAGCAAAAATCAACATTTCTAAATTCCAATTCGATTGTTACCCTTGTTAAACAAAGTTTATTTATTTAATTTAAAGAGTGACTTTCACGCCTTCTTTTAAACTTTGTTAGTTATCCTGCTTATGGTCTCCTACCTGTAATATTTGATTAAAGATTTAAAAGGTTTTATTATTATTTATATACTTACCTTTATTGTCCTTCCCAAAAAAAGTCACCAAAAATCCAATCACAATAATGTCGTATTTTCTCTGCACAGACATCCTTGATATCTTTCTCAGGATTCTGGGGAAATTTCCCACCTGAACTGTTCTGGCCCCAGTAAGCGACAAGAAGATGCTTGCCAACTGAGAGAGAAGGAATTTGTGTTCTTAATACGCGAGGATTTGTCTTCAGTCAACTGTTTAACTGTTTAATTAAGCTAACCCAGGAAAAGGTAGAATTTTGATTTAAGTTTTGTAACTTTGCGTTGAGGTTTTCTGTATATTGTTTGGCCTTCTGTTTTCAGTTTTAATAATCACTATATGCACAAAACAAAGCAGCAAAAAACATTTCTATAGAAGGAAAAGTTATAATTCGGTTAACTTTTATCCTGGGGTAGCGTTAACCGGCTTTCAAACAATCCTGCCCTGTTTTCAACAAGTTAACCTGAGATGAGCCCACGATCCCATCGAAAACCAGAACTTGGTCAGCGGTCAACTTCAATAAAACAGGCGACCTGTAAAAACACGCGAGCTGTAAACTTGAGCCCACGATATGGTCC